TGGACAAGGAATGAACAGTCCGGGGAGTTGCCAATGGCAAGGGCAAGTTCCAGATCTTGTCCATCAACTTGTGGGATCGCTGCACAGTGTGTGAAATCACTGGGACTCGGTCGATCGCGCATGGTCTTATCGCATGGCTGGTTCATGTGTCTTGATTGTGCAGCTGCCAGACGATGTGCTGTGGGCTCACCTGATAGATTATAATATTTGGGGGGCCTGCACAGCAAGCCATTTCAAAGGGTATCCTTGTTTGCACTTGTGCAACAATCTACTGGCAAAAGGTTGTTCAATGGGCAATCGTGGACCTTACTCAGCGCCAAGCTGATGGGTTGATGGATTCGATGGTGGACTGGACTGGGGCATCCAAAGGCTGCAAATTTCGGAGCACTTTCTTTTCAATTTATGCGGATGCGCCTGAGCTCACCATTGGCCGTCCAAGTAAGAAGGTCCGTACCAGGTCATGACCAAATCGACTTTGCATCAGGTTGGAGAGTGGCGGGGGTGTGTTTGTGTCCCTGGGTTTTTAAGTAAAATTATGTGTGTGCCTGAAAGGACAGTTTGTCACTCGTCCAATGGTTTCTTCAGCGCGTGACCTTGAATTGGACATGTCGAGATGACGCCCTGGCTTTTATTCATTCCGGAGCATCGACGGGGCCCATATGATGCCAAAAACAGTCGGAGCCCCGTCCAAATACGACGGACATTTTTTGACCTCCACGGATGGGGCCGTCTTCCGGGGTACTTAAGCCGTCACAGAAGCTGCCCAAGGCCGCGGCTCGTCGCAGCCCTGCCCCGCGGCCCGCACAGCCGACGGCCCACTCCAACGCGGACCAACACGGCGGGCTGGGGTGCGCTTGGGTCCGCGCACCGCCGCCTCGACCGACGACGCGGCCGAACAGATCGTCTGGGGAGGCTGCGCGTTGCCCGGCGCCAAGGCTCCTCGATTGTTCTCCCCGGCGCCCCTGGTGAGGATCCCGCGGCACGCGGCCTGCTGGATTGTTCCTCCCTGGATCGAAAGAACGACATTGGGTGGTCATCTGTCCCCATCTGCCTCGGCCTGCCGCTCCGCCAATCTCGGAGTCTCCGCCACGCGCCGCTCCCTTGACTCGCCGCGCCCTCCCTCGCTGATCGCCCCCCGCCGATCGGTCCGCCATCCAGGCCGGGCGGGCGTGCCCGCTCCGTCGGGTTGCCCAGCTCGCCAGTGGCGCCGCTCCGCGCCGCCTGCCGATCGTGCCATCCTCGGCCGCCGTCAGACGCGCCGCATTCGCCGCACGATGGCCACCCATCTCCGACGCGATGGTCAAGCGGCGTGATTGTTCCCCGGGTTACTTCCGCCTTGGCCGCGTTGTAGGCAGCGGCCCGGATCAGCTTTTGCAAGGCCGTCATTGCCGCGAGCGCCATGCGTTCCTCCTGGTGTGTCATCGGCGCAGAGTGCCGGTGCGTGTCTGCTAGTTCCGCTCGCGCCTTGCGCTGCCTCCGGCCAACCCACAGTCTTTCAGGGGGGGGCACTACCTTTCCGCACAAAGACTCTTCGATCAGTCGCCTTGACGCCACCGGTGAGGCCCCCGGGCTCAAGCCCCATTGGGTGCCGACGCCGCCCTGATCGAAAAGGGTGACCCGAAGCGGCATGCGCTCACAGCGGCCTCGACCGGCCGCCCCGCCAATCGGATCGCTTCGGTTTCGTTTCCGCGCCCCACACCCTGGACCGGCGACGTGGCCGTACAGATCGTCTGGGGAGGCTCCGCGTTGCCCGGCGCCAAGGCTCCTCGATTGTTCTCCCCGGCGCTCCTGGTGAGGATCCCGCGGCACGCGGCCTGCTGGATTGTTCCTGCCTCGATCGAAAGAGTGACATCGGGTGGTCATCTGTCCCCACCTGCCTCGGCCTGCCGCTCCGCCAATCTCGAAGTCTCCGCCACGCGCCGCTCCCTTGACTCGCCGCGCCCTCCCTCGCTGATCGCCCCCCGCCGATCGGTCCGCCATCCAGGCCGGGCGGGCGCGCCCGCTCCGTCGGATTGCCCAGCTCGCCATTGGCGCCGCTCCGCGCCGCCCGCCGATCGTGCCATCCTCGGCCGCCGTCAGACGCGCCGCATTCGCCGCACGATGGCTGCCCATCTCCGACGCGATGGCCAAGCAACGTGATGGTTTCCTGGGTTATTTCCGCCTTGGCCGCGGTCTAGGCCGCGGCCTGGGTCAGGATTTGCAAGGCCGTCGTTGCCGCCAGCGCCATGCGTTCCTCTTGGTGTGTCATCGGCGGAGAGTGCCCGTGAGCGTGGAGCTTCAACGCCCTTTGTCCACGAATCAATTCCCATTGTGGACTAGCATCGCGTTGGCCCGCCTCTCCCGTCGATCCGCCTTCTTGCCTTGGAGGATCTGCTGGTTCCCTCCCTGCCAATCGGCGTTGGCATTCGGTTGCCTCTACCGTCGATCCACCTCCGCGCCCCGTAGAATCTCCGCTTTCCATAACTCGCCGCACGCTGCGCCAAACCGCGCCACACCTGCCAGCCACGTGCCTTGATGGGCGCTCACCCTCCCGTGCTGTCCTGCCCCCTATGTGCGTGTCAGGAACGTGCCCAGGAACCAGTTCGGAATGCAGCCCGCCACAAACGGAATGAAATGTAATTGTAGCTTCAATGCAGTTGATGGGCGCTGCTTAGACGAGTTGACTCAACTCGTCTAAATACAACCTATCTAACGCAAAGACAGAGTCAACGTTGCAATTGATTTCGCCATAGGCCACCTGAACACACGCAATGGCTTTGAAATCGAGTGGCATTCATAACAGAGAAGTTTGTGTCATTGGTACACAACCAACCCGTGGCCCCGTTTAGGGTGGATAGCTCGTTGGGCGAGTTGTCCTTAGACCACTTGTCCGGTAGACAAGTTGTCTTTAGACGAATGGGCCGGACACCATTTTTGGGGACTGGCTCGACTGCGAAATGCGCGAAAATTATTCTGTTGCGAGCTTTTCTGGGTATATAGTAGTACTTATAACCCGGTTGCGAAGCTTGGTCAGGGCGCAGCTCGCAGCCTGCCCCGCAGCTAACAGCCGGGGACTCGCCCAACACGGCCCCCTGGGTGCACCTGGTTGAGCGCACCACCGCCTCGACCCACGGCACGGCCGATCGGATCGCCTGGGGAGGTCCCGCGCCGCCCGGTGCCAAGGTTCCTCGATCGATCATCCCAGCGCCCACGGTCAGGTTCCAAGGCACGCAGCCCAAGGTGATGCATTTGTTGCCCTTATAGAGGGAATGACCAGGAGGGACATTTGCGCTCAGCTGACTCGAAAGGGGGCCAGACCAATCGAATCGTTTGTGACCCGCCTCTGTACTCCTCTCCCCGGCCTCTCTCCGTTTTTTGTCCAATCGTGGCTGATCGCCCCAGCATCCGCCTGGGTGGGTGGGAGCACCCATTTGTGAGTAATTGCCGATTTGCCCATGTTGGCAGGCCGCAGAGCCCGCTGAATGTTCGGGTCTCATCCACCGTCTTGAGCGCCATATTTGTCACCTCCACGTGACCGTCGTCCAACTCGGACGCGATCGGACGCCCGGGTCAGCTCCAGCCTGTGTGTGTCACTGACCGGCCTCGGTCTGGAGCCGGCCACTGGCGCGAAATGTGTGCGTCTGTAGTTTCCACGTGCGCCCTGCCCTGTCCCGCCGAGCCGCCTGTTTCCAGGGCGCACGTCAGAATTGGGCGACGGTTTGAGCGAACTTTCCCCGTTGATTGATCAGGCACCCATGCAGGGTTGCTAAGTCAAACTGATGCCTTGGACAGGCCATAGAATACCTGGCCTTTCCTGAAGACTTTTGCCAACGTACTGAACGGGTTAGCTGCTGCAATTCTTCACTTCATCTTGAAACAAAGTCAGTTGTGCCAGGTGCTACGAATAGCCACTGGCTGTCCACCGATGCAGGGATTTGTGATAGTCAGTACTCACAGGTAGAAAGAAGGTTGCACTGCTAATATGGCAGTGTGAGAAATGGCATGTCCAATATGGTCAAAATAATATGTGGCGCGTTTTCCTTCATGAGACAGTGGTCGCCTTCCCCTTGTACTTTTGATGCGGTGACAAGGGTTCTCATGTCTATTCCCATGGCTGATCCCACTTGCAGTTCGACCTTATGCCGTCCTTTTGCTTCTGTCGTTCACTCCCTGCATGCACTTCTTCCAACCAATTCTGCCTTCCTATGTCACGCTCTTCCAGTGGAAAATGGCCTGTTTGGTGTGTGGTGTGACTGTTGCGATGTTGCAGTGCACCTGCTTAAAACTGACTACGTTGGTTCCTAGGCATTTGCTGTTGACGCAATGGTGACTCCATTGTGACTACATTTGCTTGTTGTTGCTGAGTTTGGTGTGCCTTTTGCAGACAGCCGACAAACCAGAAAGTGTGGATATAACGACGCAGCACGCTGCTTGCAGTGTGCCTGTGGCACCAAAGGGAGTCCCGAATCTGTGAGGCAAACATGTCGGAGGCGCTATCTGTTGCCTCCAAGATCATCAAGGTCTGCCTGGAGGTTCAGAAGATCACAAATGCTGCAAAGCACAACAAAGAAAAATGCAGAGCAATTGGAGAACTTGTTGGCCGTTTGAAGGTAGTCCTGGAGGACATACGCAACCACCCTCGTGAAGTCCTTGAGGGTCCTCTTGGAGGGGTTGAGGCTGCAACGAAGGAGGCCCTGGACTTTGTGAAGAAACAATATGAGATGGGGAGGGTGGCACGATTTGCCAGGGCAAGGGCTGTGAAGGAAGGCTTCTCCGAACTTGAGAAGAATCTGAGCACTCAAATCCAGAGTAGGTAGCCACCTTGTGCAGACAACCATGGCTGCATCCCAGTTCTCTCTGTGCTTTATCACTTGCAGTTGTTACATTTATGTGTGTGGTTGCTCCAGCAGTTGGTGAAGTGCAGGTGGCAGCAGGAAATGCAAGACCTGGTGTGCGCATTCATCTATTTCTTGGTTCACATCAGCAGGGAAGGTGCTCTGCTGATTTCATTGTGTGCACAGTTTTGCAGGTTGCACAAGGTGCTGCAGCAGCTCAGGGCCAGGAGAGGCTGGCAGAGGGACAAAAAGAGCATGCAGCAAGGCTTAAATCCATCCGAGAAATATTGCTACATCCACCAACAGAGACTGTGCATGACATGTTCATGGCTTTGGTGAACCAACCAGAGCTTCCAGAGATCACAGTGGGATTGGATGACAGGGCTCAGGAGGTTTTGAAAATGGTGAAGGAGATGGAGGGCACTGTTCTTGGAGTTGCTGGGATGGGTGGTGTTGGTACGTATTCCTGGGTCTGAGAGTTTTGTGAACTGTTTATGCCAGAATATGAACATGCTGGTTGCACAGTTCTCTAAACTATCATGCACACACTGGTAGAATTCATGATGCAAAACCTTGTTCTGACAGCTCTGATGACAAGTAGTCTGCTGACTGTTGTGGCAGTTGCATGTAGTCTGATGATTGGTGGTCTTCAGCACATTTTGTTTCACACTTGGACATGTGTGGTGTGATTGTGGTATGCAGGAAAAACCACCCTTGTGTTGGCTGTGTACTGGCTTGTCAAGAACAGCAGCCAGTTTGATGCCACCTGTTGGGTCACTGTCAGTCAAACTCCCGACCTGATCCAGTGTCAGCGACAGATCTGGACCCAGCTGATCGGATCTCCACCGCCAGCATTCAGGACTGCCGAACAAGGCTTCAGACTGTTGTTGCATGAGTTGGCTGACAAGAACGTGTTCATTGTGCTGGATGACATCTGGAATTTTGGGGATCTGAAACTCTTGCAAGTGGTCAAAACTTCGGGCAAAATTGTTTTCACTACCAGGAAGTCTGACATTGCCAGGAGGGCCCAGGCTGGTGTATATGAGCACAGAATCCTGGATGACCAACAATCACAGGTGCTTTTCAACTTGAAGGCATTTGGTGCTCCAACTGTGCCTGAAGACAAGCAGGAATTCCAGGCATATGCACGAGAGATGGCTGCAGAGTGTGAAGGTCTGCCATTGGCATTGACTGTCATTGGATCGCTGGCAAGAGGGTATGCGCTGTTGCATGAATGGAAAGTTGGGTGCCACAAGCTCAAGACTGCAAAAGTGCTGGATGAAGAGCATGACAAGCAAGTGCTGCGGATCCTTCGCAGCAGCTTGGATGACCTTGACAAGGATGAGCAGGCATTCTTTCTTTTCCTGGTGGCCCTGCCGGAGGATTACCATATGGGCGTATCGGATTTGGTGGAGCAGTGGGTGGCTCTTAGTCATGATGAGGCCAGCGATGGCGAAGAGGAGTGCATCGAGATTTGGAGGGCTAAGGCATACGCTGTGCTTGGGCGCTTGTTGGATCGGCATATGGTGTTGTCAGACAAGTCAGGCTTCCCTCGCTTCCAGAGAGATGAGAAGGATGCCTTGATGGCAGTGGTTGGATTCCGGGAAAGTGGCCTTTCCACAGTTTCGTGCCACCTGCATGACACAATTCGGGAGATGGGTTTGCAGGCTGCAAATGAGGAAGAGAGGCACCTGCTGATTTCGGGCAGCTGCAAGTTGCAGCAACCTGCTATTGCCAAGGCCAGAGGGTTGTCAATGTGCCACACTTCCCAATCTTTTGTGTGGCCTGAAGGAGCAGAGGCCCCACACATGGAGTGGCTGGTTCTGCGAGAGATGGGGCTTGCAACAATCCCTGCTACCATCTTCCTATCTGGCAAACTGACCATCTTAGATATGTCATTCTCCAGACTGGCATCAGTGCCACCAGAGATTGGCCAGCTGCAAGAGCTACGGCTGTTGAGGCTTGATGGCTGTTCCCAGTTGAAGACATTGGCTATAGACATCACTCGCCTCCAACGCCTTTTGGTGTTGTCTGTCAGGCTGTGTGAGTCCCTCAAAGAACTACCCACTGACATTGGGAAGCTGAAGCAGTTGACCTGCCTTCATTGCCCAGGATGTGGGCTCAGCACCCTGCCCCGATCAATAGGGGACTTGGAGAACATGACGCAACTGGATTTGAGCTTCTGCGCCCAATTGAAGGAACTTCCCTCGTCCCTTGGAGATGCTAGTCAGCTGGAACACTTGAGTGTGGCTGGCTGTCCATTGCTGAAGAGTCTTCCAAGTTCGGTACATCAACTGAAGGAACTGGTGACCCTCATTGCAGCAGGCTGTTGTGGCCTCGAGGAACTCCCATCATTGTGGCCAGGCAATTTGCAATTGTTGGATCTTCAGGGGTGTCAACGTCTGACAGCTATTCCTGTTGGCATCCAGGATCTCTCCCACTTGAAGGCCCTCCTGCTCCAGGGATGCACAAGGCTTGAACGGTTTCCCAACTCTGGGTTGCCCAGCTTGCAGATTGTCGGCCTGCCACTTGTTAGAGAGAAGCAGCTCCAGGATATGGTCAACAAGCGTGAACTTGATGTTGGTGAGGCTCGTCGCATTCATCAAAAGCCTCTCAGCATCAGAGGCGAGAACTTTTACTTGCTCTGTGGCGAGCTTGATGAGGAGTGGTTGAAAAGTGTGGTGGAGATGGTGAAGTGGCTTCCACAGGGCACCCACTACAATTATATTGCCATGAAGGTATGTTTTGTGCTTATTGTCTTCCCATTTTTGAGTGGAATGCAGTTCTGCTGAGGTAATATGGCCACATTGTGCTTGAACTACCAGTCTGAGTGTCCCCGATAGGGCTGCTGCCTTATTTCTTCATAAAACAGGATCTGTGGAGGAAAAGATTTGGCTGTACCTGGCTATCTTATTGACATTACTGTTTGCTGTTGAGAAGAAAAAGATGATATCGCTCTTGCATTGGGAGTTGGTACATATGACAACAGTGTTTCCTTGCTTTCTGTCGGTGGATATGCTCTGAGAGAAATGCAGCGGCTGCATGACATGATGTGATTCTGGTTTACCAGAAACTTGGAAGGGGGGTATTGGACATGAAGGCAGCTCTGGAAGGCACGATTGTTGCGGATGAGGTAATCACAGCAATTTGAACACCATATCAGCAGTAGTGCTTTTCTCATGCAGCGCAACATATGAGCCAGGTTGGGCTGCCTTTTGCCACACGGACAATGAAGCCAGCAACGTTGTGTTTCCATTTGATTTGTAAGCCCATTTGCCAGTGCTGGTGCTATGCAGAGCCATTGGAGAAGATGCCCAATTGCACACATGATGATTATGTGCACAACAGCTTTCTGAAGTCATTGCAGTGGATGTGAAAGCCTATAATTGACTGCATGTGTGGACTGCTCAAGTACGGGCAAACACCCCTTCACCATGCAGCAAGGGATGGTGATGTTGATGCACTGGAAAACATTCTGGGAGCTGGGGTATCAGTGGATGGCAGGGACAAGGTGCGACACCATTCCACATGCTCTTGGTGGTGCTCTTCTCTCCCATGTGGAGCAGGGGGTGCTGGGAGATCAGAACAGTAAATGCATGCAATGCACAATATGGTGCAAGACTATTCTAACATGCTCTTTTACTTGCTTCAAATAGGGTATCAACTTTTACATTTGGGCATGTTTTAGCTGAATGTGATTTGAGGGATCCTGTTGTTCGTCAATTCCCTGAATGCATAGTTACCAGGCATGGGGCTGCCGAGCCATCTGACGTTTTGAGGCATGTTCTTTGCACAGGAATACATCCAAACCTTATGCAGTGCTTGCATTACAGTAATGCTCTTGACATTCCAGGTAATTACTACAAACCGCAAAACATTCACTGACATGGTGGCATGGTAGCGACTGGCCTCAGTTCTTGCTAATTGGCAATGTCCCAGACACTGACAGACTGCCAGCCCATGTCCTAACAGGCACAGTATGCTGCTGGTCAGCTGCATGCCCAAAGCTTTGTTGTGCTGTTTGAAGTTTGGCATGGTGCATCAAACGCTAGAAATGTTGAGTCCCAAACCATGCAGAGTGCCCAATGTTTGGGCTGGGGTCCACAGCCTGGCGGTATTGCCTATTACATAGCCGGATGAGTGGGCTGGTAGTTTGACCATTAGATTAGTAGATTAGTACAAAAGCCCCAACGAAGCTGAATGTGTGTGGCACTTTGAAAACGCCATGCGCTGTGTACAGCTGTGTCAGCGGATGCTTTGCACTTTGTGTCAGTAGAGCACAGCAAAATCCTGTGCCCATAGCTTTGTGTTGCTGCTTGAAGTTTGGCACAGTGCATCAAACACCAGAAATGTACAGTCCAAAGCTGTGCAGTGTGCCCAATGTTTGGGCTGGGGTCTATAGCCTGGCGGCATTACCAATTACATAATTGGATGAGTGGGCTGGCAATTTGACTAATTTTCTTGACGCGCTTAATGCCCCACTGCATATTCTGGATGAAGCTGTGCTGCCACTGATACTCTGTTTGCAAGCCCCTGGGTGTTCTCATTGGGAAGTTTGCATAACAGATGTCTGCAAATCTCAGTATCAAGTACCCACGTTGCAATGGATCTAATGTAGCCCTTGGTCTAGGAGGTGCACAACAAAGAGTATTGTGCATTGGCTCGGAGCACAGTAGGCCGATCCATTGCTCATCCTGCCACAATTGGAAGGAAACGGGTGCGTTTTGGCAAAAATGCAGTTTGTCCACCCTGGTCTCTTGATGCATCGACAGCCTGAGGGCATGCGTTTTGCTTTCTGTTGTGTGCAGAGCGGAAAGACGGCATTGATGCATGCCGCCGGAAAAGGCCGCCTGGGCATTGTGGAGAAGCTTGTTGCTGTTGGGGCAGACGTGCAACAAGTAGACCAGGTGCGCCAGTTGACTTAGTTGGTGCATTTTCTCATTCACAACTATATTGGTGGCTAAATAGGTGTTTCACATGCCACTGAGAATTTTCTTTGATGTGGGATCGATCGCGTCTCCAGTTTCTGCAGTACTTTGCAAATGCACACTGCAGAAATTTCCACTTTGCTTTATGAAGTTTCTCCAAAGTACTTTGCAAGCTCTTTAGGGCCTGCGTCCTCATGGCATAGTGCCTTAGCATCAGCAGTGGCGGCGCTTTCGTTCAGTGCAATATCTCCGCATGTGGGTACAAGATGCCGTCACACATCGTGCACTGTGCGCAACTTCTCTGTCTCATTGGTTTCTCCGCGCAGTCCCATTGGCAGATTTTCCCCAAAGAAGATGGATGCACACAGCAACAGGGCTGCCATTCATACTGGTGTTACTATTATTGATGATCGTATTAGCACTGAAAGCAATGACAGCAGTACAATGAAAATACTGACACGTCGCCTAAACCACTCGTTCGTCTTGGTGATCCAGCACTTTCCGACAAACACGTTTATCTTTGTGGAATTGTGGTGGAACGCGCCGATGGCAGAAATATATGTGCACACAAGGGTGGTGCCAGGGCATGCATGTTGCCAGTGTCATGCGCCAGGCGCATTAGGCCCTAATGCTTTGTGGAAGATGGAGTCCGTGGACAGTGTTGCGACAATATTTTGCCATTTGTGATGATTATAGAACGTGGTGTGTCAGCTGTTCTTTCAGAAATCTCATGTTGTTTGGTACGGCAAAGTGTGGTATTGAAGTGCTACATCGCTTACAATACCTCGCCTGTGTCTTGCCTCCCTCCGCCCCTGCGGCATCCCCCCCTCCATCCCAGCCCCATCGACTCACAGCCTTGAATGACCTCGGCGGCCGTTGGCATTGATCCTCGCATGTGCTGCATTGGTCCCTGGTTTTGCGCATCGCACTTGCACAGGATGTCACATGCTGGCCTTCAAACTTTCTGAATTGCGATGACAATCGTGATGACCAAAGGTTCTCACGCTCCCGTCTGCTGGACGTGAGGCGTTGCGGACGAGGTCATTCGCGCGCCGACTTTCACAGTGACTTGTGTTCATTAAAGAGTTAAAGTCAGATAATGAATAACAGCTGCATCTATCTAACACTAGCATCAGCTTCGTCCACATGCAGGGACAAGCAAAGTGAGCGCCAAAGACAATTGAAAGAAAGGTCGGGAACGAGAGTGACTCAGTGGCTCTGATTAGAATCTGTTGCCGAGATTGGAGTCTCAGTGATTTCATTTTGTTCCGATGTTCCAACTACACAGCCACCATTGTGCTGTGCAAATGTAAGCCTCTCAGAATCTGGCACAGCACTTTATGTATTTTGTATTCATTGTGCCACAACAATCTTTATGGTTCACTTGCCAGTGTCAATGTACCGCCGCCATCATCAGCGGCGACAAGCTTGCTCAATATGCTGTTATCATTGTGATTAGGAACGTATCCACCTGCCTATAATGCACGTGCGACTGAACTATTTCACCTGTGGTAATCCACGGGTAACTGACAGTAAGTAGCATGTAATATATGTATGATGATGTCGTGAAGGCAAATCAGAAAATTGCAAATACAATGCAGTTATGCTTGATTTCCGCAAGCCATGACCAAAGATTTCCTCCACCCCGTGGAAATGGAAATGGAAACATGTAGACGTTGTCGTGCAAAACAACAACACAATGTACCAATTCGGCCAGCCATGTTCGAAGAGTGATAGGCACCAACGGCTCATGTCACCTGTCGTGCGTGGGAAATCGTGCTGTCGAAATTGTGCTGCACATAGCTGCGGCCGTGTCGCCCACGCACAAGAGGACGTTTCGTGTTCTGAGCCAATGGCCGATATCGCAAGAATGCCGATATCGGGGTGTCATTGAAGGAAGTGTTTGTTGATTTAATTTATGCTGAAATCAAGCGTCAGCACGAGATGGTGTCTTATTTTCAGGGCAACTATATGCCGCATCTGTGTTCATGCGTGCCAAACCATCGCAAGCGAAATGCCACAGACGGCTGCAGAAAATGGGACCCCCGTGTTGCAAACAAATGGCAGGACTGGTGGAAATGTTGGTTAAAGAAACGAAGATAGCAAATAGGAATATAAATATGAACGAACGCGTCTTGAGTACAGAATCGTGCTATGTTGGAGCCCTGCCGCATCGAGCGTCACGCCTCACGGCTTTTTATCTCTAGAAGTATTGAAAACGTAACAGTGTTACAAAAAGGGCACTTGGGTACAGTAGCGCGTTGGCTGGCTCCAAACTTGGCGGGGATCGCAGGGGAGCACGAAATCCGTTGTGAAAATCCGCGCCACACCCCAAGGGCCTCTGGAAGGCGCAGCTCCCACGGGTGCAGCGGTTCCTGTGTCGATGGTAAGGCCTCTCGAATCGTTGCGTGTCGTGTGGCGGCGATGGAGGCACGATTCGCCGCACTGGAAAACTGCCATTTGGGGCTGTGAGAACTGGGCGCGGTTGCCACTACGGCTTGAAAGCCGGGGTAGGGAAAGCAGGGGAATCGGAGTCATGACAGTTCGTCGATTTTGCTCGTTCCCTTCCGTTCTTGATCCTGGTTTCAAGGCCGCAGCGTGTTGGCGGCAAAATGCATTTCACACATGTTATGTATCACTACTGTGCATTTGACGGCTGTGTAATTGGCTGCTACGTAAACAGTTTTAAATTTAGGTAAACGACAGGAGAGTCTGCTGGCTGGTTGGTCCGTTTTGCAATAATATATGTAGTCTATAGTCTATAGACTAGTCTATGGTGCGACAATGGTATTACGTCTGTACATGTATGCGCAGTTGTGCTGCAGGACGTGTACGTCCGGTTTCGTCTTTGCCACCCCCCGCCACCCCGTCCCCACTTTCCAGCCTCGTCGACTCACGGCCTCCGGGCATTGGGGGTGATTATGGGGACTCGATGGTGAGCGCCCAGGACGCCGCCCAGCGATGTACCAAGTTATGACATCGAAGTTCCCTGTAGGAGGCGGCGTTTGCTGTGCGTGGCCATCCTGCCGCAAGTGCACAAGTCCAGCACATGCAACATGTACAGTAAACAGATGCGCCCGTGCGCACACCATCCGCACAGTGTACACACATGCACCCACGCGTCTATACGTGTACGTACGCAACCGTATGCGTCCGTACAGTACCATTGACAGCCCGGCATTGGTCAATGCTCGGTTAACAGACACCTGGGTGGCGGCAGTTGACGACAGGAAGCGTTGCCCCCGTTGTCTCTTTGTCAGATACGAACGACGCCGTTTTTGGCGTCCTCCTTTCCTTCAAGGGTCCGTGGCCACAAAATGGTGAGTAGGCCTCTAGCGGCGCTGGTCGAAATTGGCCAACGGTCTACGGACAGCACCTGCACCTCACCACCCCGTCACCACGTCCCAGCGTCGTGGTCGACTCACGGCCACAAGGCGCGGCGGCCATTGTGGCGCTCATGCTCATGCGTGCTGGATCGTATCGCAAATGCCACGCCGTCGGGATGAGTGTGTGGAATCGCCCATCACGCTCGCCATCCTTGTGTCTGTCGATTCGCAGGAGGGAAACACCGCGCTGTTGTGTGCCGCCTTTTACTGTCATGCTGCCGTTGCCAACAAGCTTCTGGACAGCGGAGCGGACGTCGGGCACCAGAGCAAGGTGCGTCGGCTTTTCTGTCAGAAATCTTGTGTTGTTGGGTGCGGCAAAGTGTGGTATTGAAGTGCCACGTCGCTTACAATACTCCGCCTGCGTCTTGCCTCCCTCCGGCCCTGCGACATCCCCCCTGCATCCCAGCCCCGTCGCCTCACAGCCTTGAATGACCTCGGCGGCCGTTGGCATTGATCCTCGCGCGTGCTGCACTGGTCCCTGGGTTCACGCATCGCTCTTGCACTGGTTGCCATATACACAGAGAGTGAATGGCAAGCAAGAGCGCCATCCCACAGGGTCAGCATCGGGCAGAATGGACCATCGATTGACGATGTGCACACACCTGGCTTGAGTATCGCAATACAAGCAGGGGCTTCAATCTGTTCATTAGATTCGCTAACACTGGCAAAACAAGCACCAAATAACACTTTTTGCAGAGGACAAAGTTCTATTGGGGTCAATGTGATTGGCAAAAAGACAACACAGAATAGAGAGGACATGGCAAGCAAACTAATAGGGCTGTGCACAATGAGCCAACCAGTCAATGTGCGCTCCAATGGCGCTTCACGTCGAATTCTTGGATATGGAATACGAAATTTAATGTGCCTTCCCAATGCTGTCCTTTGCACTTTCTGAATTGCAATGACAATCGCGATGACCAGAGATTCTCATGCTCCTGTCCGCTGGTCGATGTGAGGCGTTGCCGATGAGGTCATTCGCATGCCGACTTTCACAGTGACTTGCCTTCGTTAAAGAATTAAAGTCAGACAATGAATAATAGCTACATCTAGCTAACACTAGCATCAGCTTCGTCCACACGCAGGGACAACCAGAGTGAGCTCCCATGGCAATTGAAAGACAGGTCGGGAACAAGAGTGACTCGGTGGCTGTGATTAGAATCTGTCGCCGAGTTTGGAGTCTCAGTGATTTAAGTTTGTTCCCTTATTCCAACTACGCAGCTGCCATTGTGCTTTACAAATATACTCTAGTCGAAAACTGGCATAGCACTTTATGTATTTTGTATTGATTGTGCCAGAACAATCTTTATGGTAGATATGCCACTGTCAATGTACCACGCCATCATCAGCGACGACACGCTTGCCTAATGCGCTGTCATCATTAGGAACGTATCCCCCTGCTTAGAATGCACGCGCGATTGCATTGTTTCACATGCGGTAATCTATGAGTAGCTGACAATAAGTAGCGATGTCGCGAAGGCAAATCAGAAGAATGCAAGTACAATACAGTTATGATTGATTTCCGCAAGCTATGATGGAAGACTGCCTCCACGCTGTGGAAATGGAAATGGAAAAAAAAGTAACGTTGTCATGAAAAACAACAACACAATGTACCACTTGCACCAGCCCTGTCCACACACTGATAGGCACCAACGGCTCGTGACCCGTCTTGCGCGGGAAATTGTGTTGTCGAAATTGTGTTGCACATAGCTGCGGCCATGTCGCACTTGCACAAGAGGATGTTGTGTAGTCTGAGCCGATGGCCGATATCACAAGAAGGCCGATGCCGGGGTGTCATTGAAGGAAGTGTTTGTTGATTCAATTCATGCCTGAGTCAAGCATCAGCATGAGATCACGTCTCATTTTCAGGGCAATTGTATGCCGCATCTGTGCTCATGTGTGCCAAACTGTCGCGAATGAAATGCCACAGACGGCTGCAGAAAATGGGACCCCCATGTTGCAATAAAATGGCAGGACTGGAGGAAGTATTTGTTGTAGAAACGGACACGACGATAGCAATTAGGATTAAAAAATGAATAGATTAAATAACATGATTTAGTTATTACTTCCTCTGTCCCAAATTAAATGAAACAATTTGGAAAATGTAATTGACAACATGATATGCAAGTTAAAAGTCAAAAAAAATTCAAATTCGAAAAGACCAGGTCCCAAAACCCCTAGTGTGAACTTTTTTGAGACCAAAAATAGTCGTTCAGTCCATTCTGCAAGTCTCCAAAATCTGGCGCCCACGTGACAGTAATCGGCGGTTCATGCATCGCGCCCCCGCCATCATTCTTGCCCCTCCGGCGTTCCTGCCGCCCTCGTGGGGGACGCCGAAGTCGTTGCCCCCTTCGTGCTCAAGCACTGTGGCCTGGACGCTAAACAGGGCCCGCCAAACATTCTCGAGCGTGGCGAGATCGTAAGATTCGAAGGCAGAAGTGACGGCGTCCACAATTGCCTTCAAGGTGCCCCCCTCCTTCAGCTCGACACCCCGCCGCTGGAGGCTATGAAACAACCCGAGATCTAAAATGTTTAGATCTGGGCTTTGCGGTGGCTGGATTTGAATCTTCATACGGTAGCCATCCTTCAAGCATTCCGCTTGAAGCCCCTGTTGAATGCTGCCAGCAATGTGGGGCTTTGCCCCATCCATTTGAATAACGATGCTTGTCTTGGTGCTGTAGTATGCTGCTCGGATCGCCGGCAAAACTTTGGTTTTCATCATAGCAAGGAAGGCTGCACCGTCCATGTTCACGGACTCCAGAACTTGCTCGCCACGCACCCGGTTTTTCAACGATCTCTGGGCAATCTTGTTAGTGACAAAAGGCCAGATGCCCAAGAGGCCATTGAATTTTGTGCCATCAGATCGCTGATGAGGACGGCCCACCGCAGCAAGAAACATAACCTTGGGTATAAACCTCTTATTTTTAGCTGTAGGAGCCCCTTGCTTGGTCTCATTCTGCAGCAACCACGCCCGCCAGCCATCAATTTGAACGTAAAACCACTTTTCGCCGATGTGCACCCAATTGATGCACGGGTCCAAAACGAAGCTTCGGCCCATCGGCTGGACTTGATTGACAACAAACTGCAGCCTTTGTAGCTTTTGCTCAGGGGTCAAGCTGGGCTTGATCCAAAGTGCACTCCTAGACACTTTATTTCGTTGCAAAAAGCGGTGAAGAGTTGACTTGTTGGAGCTCGTCAATTCAGCGACCCGCCGAACAGATGTCCGCTGGAACTGTGGGACCTGTTCGATTGCTTGAACAAACTCTTTAGAGGGTTTCCTCTTTCTCCCACAATGTCCTTTGCGATGGCAGCTAAGATCGATGCCTTCTCCCTTGTCTGCCTGTTCGCGGATTGTCCGGGAAATGCGCCAAACGGTGCGCCGACTAGTCCCGAATCTATCGGCCGCATCGCCGATCGATCAATAGGCTGCTCGATCCTGGCCACCTTGCAGCCTCAGGACTGCCATTCCAACGTTGAGTCTGAGTGGCGTTGGTAGCTCTGCTCTTCCGGCACCGTGCGGCTGGGAGGAAGACGCCCCACTCCGAGACCCCATTTTTGGCGGGGTCAGCGCCAGACTGAGAAAATTCGAGTTTCTAGAAACAAGGCACTGGTTCAAAGTACTGCCATTTTTGCAATACTTATCCGTTCTTTGCAAAAATTTGGCAGCATGTACCAACATGAGTTGTGGTGCTCTGGTCAAATTTTCAAGCCAAACCGAGGAGAGGTTGGTTAAAATCTTGCCCTGCAAACAGATTGTTTCATTTAATTTGGGACAGAGGAAGTAATATTTATACTAATATTTAACAATTACCAAATAAATGGGAACGAACACGTCCTGAATACAGAATCATGGGGTTCATGGCGCCATTTTCAAGTCCGTGTTTCAACAATTCTCTACCATTCCTCGCTCGTGGTATGGACAGATCATTGCCTTCTTCCATCGATTCTGGCCGGCTCTCAGTTTCCCGGAGGCTATACCAGTTGACATACAATCCTTTCAGCGGATATACAAACACGTCCACATCGCCAATGTCTTCACCAGCCATTCTTCAAGAATTCAGCGTTGGTACAAGCACATTAAGCCAATCTACCGATATGAACGATTCCTGCCAACTTTACAACCTATCTCCTTGAGGACTTTCTTTCTACGCTTTCGCTGTGGGGTGCATTTCCTGGAAGTCGAGAATCAACGACACCAAGCGAGACAATCCATTCCAGAATTTTCAAGGCGATTGTGTCCGTTATGCCACTTGGCACCTGAAGATGAGCTCCATTTTCTCTTCCACTACAAAGCCTATGACACCATCCGTCGAAGCCACTCCCGTATTTTTCAATGTCGCAATGCAAAAGTACTCTTTGCTACAATTCCAGCTCGACAGCTTGCGAACACACTTCGTTTGATGTATTACCATCGATTATCACTTTTGGGCATCGAGATTTCATAGATCATATATTTTGTTTGTATTCTCCTTAAATTCCAACAAACCAATCACCAACTCTGCTTTGCTCAGGCAAAATAGGAAGTTGACGGCTACCTCATTGCCTTGTTCTGTAAAAAATCATGATGATGAATACAGAATCGTGCTCTGTTAGAGCCCTGCCGCATCGAGCGTCATGCCTCACGGCCTTTTATCTGTATTAGTATCGAAAGCGTAACTGTGTTACGAAGAGGACCCTTGGATATAGTGGCGCTTTGCCTGGCTCCAAACTTGGCCGGGATCCCAGGGGAGCACGAAATCCGTTGTGTGAATCCGTGCCACACCCCAAGGGCTTCTGGAAAGCGCAGCTCCCATGGGTGCAGCGGTTCCTGCGTCGATGGTAAGGCCTCTCGATTCGTCGTGCGTCGTGTGGCAGCACTGGAGGCACGAGACGCGTCGCTGGAGGCACGATTTGCCGCACTGGAAAACCGCCATTTGGGGCCGTGAGAACTGGGCGCGATTGCCACTACGGCGTGAAAGCCGGTGTAGGGAAAGCAGGGGAATCGACGTCATGAGTCAGTTCGTCGATTTTGCTCGTTCCCTTCCGTTCTTGATCCTGGTTTCAAGGCCGCAGCGTGTTGGCGGCAAAATGCATTTCACACATATTATGTATCACTACTGTGCATTTGACGGCTGTGTGGTTGGCTGCTACGTAAACAGTTTTAAATTTAGGTAAACGACAGGAGAGTCTGCTGGCTGGTTCGTCCGTTTTGCAATAATATATGTAGTCTATAGTCTATAGACTAGTCTATGGTGCGACAATGGTATTACGTCTGTACATGTATGCGCAGTCGTCCTGCAGGATGTGTGCGCCCGGTTTCGTCTTCACCACCCCCCCCGCCACCTCGTCCCCACATTCCAGCCTCGTCGTCTCACGGCCTTGGGGCATTGGGGATGACTACGGGGCTTCGATGATGAGCGCCCAGGGCGCCGCCCAGCTACGTACTAAGTTATGACACCGAAGTTCCCCGTAGGAGGCGGCGTTTGCTGTGCGTGGCCGTCCTGCCGCAAGTGCACAAGTCCAGCACCACTCTCCGGCCGAATTTGTATTCTCATTGATTCATTTTCTTCCCCTGCAGAGTGGGAGGAACGCGTTGCTGTGGGCCGCCTATGGCGGAAGCACTGACATCGTGGAGAGGCTGTTGTCCCTTGGGATAGACGTCGACCACACGGACAAGGTGATGTGCCTGTTGTGCTGTCGTTGTGCAGTGCAAATGCATGCCACTCAAAAAATTGGCTTACTACTTTATGGATTTTGTATTTACTGTGCCAGAACGGTCATTTTGGTAAACTTGCCACTGTCGATGTACCGCCGCCATTATCAGTGGAGACACGCTTGCCCAATGCGCTATTCTAATTGCGATTCCTCCGGCTGATAATATACTCGCGATTGCATTATTTCACATGTGGTAATCTACGAGTAGCTGACAGTAAGTAGCATGTAATATACGTATGATGATGTCGCGAAGGCAAATCGGAAGAATGCAAATAAAATGCAGTTATGCTTGATTTCCGCAAGCTATGACGGAAGACTCCCCCCACGCCGTGGAAATGGAACTGGAAACAAGTAGACGTTGTCGTGCAAAACAACAACACAATGTCCCACTTCCGCCTGCCCTGTACACACTATGGTAGGCACCAACGGTTCATGTCACCTGTCGTGCATGGGAAATCGTGCTGTCGAAATTGTGCTGCACATAGCTGCGGCCGTGTCGCCCACGCACAAGAGGACGTTTCATGTTCTGAGCCGATGGCCGATATCACAAGAAGGCCGATGCCGGGCTGTCTTTGAAGGAAGTGTTTGTTGATTTAATTTATGCTGAAATCAAGCGTCAGCACGAGATGGTGTCTTATTTTCAGGGCAACTATATGCCGCATCTGTGTTCATGCGTGCCAAACCATCGCAAGCGAAATGCCACAGACGGCTGCAGAAAATGGGACCCCCGTGTTGCAAACAAATGGCAGGACTGGTGGAAATGTTGGTTAAAGAAACGAAGATAGCAAATAGGAATATAAATATGAACGAACGCGTCTTGAGTACAGAATCGTGCTATGTTGGAGCCCTGCCGCATCGAGCGTCACGCCTCACGGCTTTTTATCTCTAGAAGTATTGAAAACGTAACAGTGTTACAAAAAGGGCACTTGGGTACAGTAGCGCGTTGGCTGGCTCCAAACTTGGCGGGGATCGCAGGGGAGCACGAAATCCGTTGTAAAAATCCGCGCCACACCCCAAGGGCCTCTGGAAGGCGCAGCTCCCACGGGTGCAGCGGTTCCTGCGTCGATGGTAAGGCCTCTCGAATCGTTGCGTGTCGTGTGGCGGCGATGGAGGCACGATTCGCCGCACTGGAAAACTGCCATTTGGGGCCGTGAGAACTGGGCGCGGTTGCCACTACGGCTTGAAAGCCGGGGTAGGGAAAGCAAATCGGAGTATTATCGTTCTGTACATGTTATGCGCAGTGCTTGGCTGCTGCTGGTAAACGACAGGAGAGTCTGCTGGCTGGTTCGTCCGTTTTGCAATAATATATGTAGTCTATAGTCTATAGACGTCTATGGTGCGACAATGGTATTACGTCTGTACATGTATGCGCAGTCGTCCTGCAGGACGTGTACGTCCGGTTTCGTCTTCGCCACCCCCGCCACCCCGTCCCCACTTTCCAGCCTCGTCGTCTCACGGCCTTGGGGCATTGGCGATGATTATGGGGACTCGATGGTGAGCGCCCAGGGCGCCGCCCAGCGATGTACCAAGTTATGACATCGAAGTTCCCTGTAGGAGGCGGCGTTTGCTGTGCGTGGCCGTCCTGCCGCAAGTGCACAAGTCCAGCACACGCAACATGTACAGTAAACAGACGCGGCCGTGCGCACACCATCCGCACAGTGTACACACATGCACCCACGCGTCTATACGTGTACGTACGCAACCGTATGCGTCCGTACAGTACCATTGACAGCCCGGCATTGGTCAATGCTCGGTTAACAGACACCTGGGTGGCGGCAGTTGACGACAGGAAGCGGTGTCCGCGTTGTCTCTTTGTCAGATACGAACGACGCCGTTTTTGGCGTCCTCCTTTCCTTCAAGGGTCCGTGGCCACAAAATGGTGAGTAGGCCTCTAGCGGCGCTGGTCGAAATTGGCCAACGGTCTACGGACAGCACCTCACCACCCTGTCACCACGTCCCAGCGTCGTGGTCGACTCACGGCCACAAGGCGCGGCGGCCATTGTGGCGCTCATGCTCATGCGTGCTGGATCGTATCACAAACGCCACGCCGTCGGGATGAGTGTGTGGAATCGCCCATCACGCTCGCCATCCTTGTGTCTGTCGATTCGCAGGAGGGAAACACCGCGCTGTTGTGGGCCGCCCAGAGGGATCATGCTGCCGTTGCCAACAAGCTTCTGGACAGCGGAGCGGACGTCGGCTGCCAGGACAAGGTGCGTCGGCTTTTCTGTCAGAAATCTTGTGTTGTTGGGTGCGGCAAAGTGTGGTATTGAAGTGCCACGTCGCTTACAATACCCCGCCTGCGTCTTGCCTCCCTTCAGCCCTGCGACATCCCCCCCCTGCATCCCAGCCCCGTCGCCTCACAGCCATGAATGACCTCGGCGGCCGTTGGCGTTGATCCTCGCGCGTGCTGCACTGGTCCCTGGGTTCGCGCATCGCTCTTGCACTGGTTGCCATATACACAGAGAGTTAATGGCAAGCAAGAGCGCCATCCCACAGGGTCAGCGTCGGGCAGAATGGACCGTCGATTGACGATGTGCACACACCTGGCTTGAGTATCACAATACGAGCAGGGGCTTCAATCTGTTCATTAGACTCGCTAACACTGGCAAAACAAGCACCAAATAACACTTTTTGCAGAGGACAAAGCTCTATTGGGGTCAATGTGATTGGCAAAAAGACAACACAGAATAGAGAGGACATGGCAAGCAAACTAATAGGGCTGTGCACAATGAACCAACCAGTCAATGTGCGCTCCAATGGCGCTTCACGTCGAATTCTTGGATACGGAATACGAAATTTAAGGTGCCTTCCCAATGCTGTCCTTTGCACTTTCTGAATTGCGATGACAATTGCTATCGACGATAGGCGTTGCGGGCGAGGTCATTTGTGCGCCGACTTTCGCAGTGACTTCCCTTCATTGAAGAATTAAAGTCAGATAATGAACAACATCTGCAACTAGCTAACACTAGCATCAGCTTCGGCCGCACGCAGGACAAGCAAAATTTCCCACAGCAGTTGAAAGAAGCGTCGGGAACAAGAGTGACTCGATTGATCTGATTAGAATCTGTCGCTGAGTTTGGAGTCTCAGTGATTTCGTTCTGTTCCCTTGTTCCAACTACGCAGCTGCCATTGTGCTGTACAAATGTACGCCTCTCTGCAATTGGCTTAGCACTTTATAGATTGTGTATTGATTGTGCAAGAACAATCTTTATGGTAGACTTGCCACTGTCAATGTACCACTTCCGCCAGCCGTGTCCGCACAGTGGTAGGCACCAACGGCTCGTGACCCGTCCTGCACGGGAAATCGTGCTGTCGAAATTGTGCTGCACACAGCTGCGGCGTGTCGCGCTTGCACAAGAGGACGTTGCGTATTCTGAGCCGATGGCCAATATCGCAAAAAGGCCGATGTCGGGCTGTCATTGAAGGAAATGTTTGTTGACTTAATTCATGCCTAAGTCAAGCATCGGCATGAGATCGCGTCTCATTTTCAGGGCAATTGTATGCCGCATCTGTGCTCATGTGTGCCAAACCGTCGCGAACGAAATGCCACAGGCGGCTGCAGAAAATGGGACTACCGTGTCGCAACAAATGGCAGGACTGGATGAAGCATTGGTTGTAGAAGCGGACACGAAGATAGCAATTAGGATTAAATAGATAAGTATATTAAATATTATGACTTGGTTACTAACTATTTGTGCTAATATTTAGCAATTATTAAACAAATAGGAACGAACACGTTCTGAATACAGAATCGTGCTCTGTTAGAGCCCTGCCGCATCGAGCGTCACGCCTCAAGGCTTTTAATCTCTAGAAGTATTGAAAACGTAACAGTGTTGCGAAGAGGACCCTTGGATGCAGTAGCGCATTGGCTGGCTCCAAACTTGGCCGGGATCGCAGCGAGGCACGAAATCCGTGGGTGAAACCGCGCCACTCCCCAAGGGCTTCTGGAAAGCGCAGCTCCCCTGGGTGCAGCGGTTCCTGCGTCGATGGTAAGGCCTCTCGAATCGTCGTGCGTCGTGTGGCGGCGCTGGAGGCAGGAGTCGCGTCGCTGGAGGCACGATTCGCCGCACTGGAAAACTGCCATTTGGGGTCATGAGAACTGGGCTCGATTGCCACTACGGCTTGAAAGCCGGGGTAGGGAAAGCAGGGGAATCGGGAGTCATGACAGTTCGTCGATTTTGCTCGTTCCCTTCCGTTCTTGATCCTGGTTTCAAGGTCGCAGCGTGTTGGCGGCAAAATGCATTTCACACATGTTATGTATCACTACTGTGCATTTGACGGCTGTGTGGTTGGCTGCTACGTAAACAGTTTTAATTTTAGGTAAACGACAGGAGAGTCTGCTGGCTGGTTGGTCCGTTTTGCAATAATATATGTAGTCTATAGTCTATAGACTAGTCTATGGTGCGACAATGGTATTACGTCTGTACATGTATGCGCAGTCGTCCTGCAGGACGTGTACGTCCGGTTTCGTCTTCGCCACCCCCGCCACCCCGTCCCCACTTTCCAGTCTCGTCGTCTCACGGCCTTGGGGCATTGGCGATGATTATGGGGACTCGATGGTGAGCGCCCAGGGCGCCGCCCAGCGATGTACCAAGTTATGACATCGAAGTTCCCTGTAGGAGGCGGCGTTTGCTGTGCGTGGCCGTCCTGCCGCAAGTGCACAAGTCCAGCACACGCAACATGTACAGTAAACAGACGCGGCCGTGCGTGCACACATCCGCACAGTGTACACACATGCACCCACGCGTCTGTACGTGTACGTACGCAACCGTATGCGTCCGTACAGTACCGTTGACAGCCCGGCATTGGTCGACGCTCGGTTAACAGACACCTGGGTGGCGGCAGTTGACGACAGGAAGCGGTGTCCGCGTTGTCTCTTTGTCAGATACGAACGACGCCGTCTTTGGCGTCCTCCTTTCCTTCAAGGGTCCTGCCCCACAAAATGGTCAGTAGGCCTCTAGCGGCGCTGGTCGAAATTGGCCAACGGTCTACGGACAGCACCTGCACCTCACCACCCCGTCACCACGTCCCAGCGTCGTGGTCGACTCACGGCCACAAGGCGCGGCGGCCATTGTGGCGCTCATGCTCATGCGTGCTGGATCGTATCACAAACGCCACGCCGTTGGGGTGAGTGTGTCGGCGGAGTCGCTATCCGCTCATTGCGGTCATGCTGCCGTTGCCAACAAGCTTCTGGACAGCGGAGCGGACGTCGGCTGCCAGGACAAGGTGCGTCGGCTTTTCTGTCAGAAATCTTGTGTTGTTGGGTGCGGCAAAGTGTGGTATTGAAGTGCCACGTCGCTTCCAATACCCCGCCTGCGTCTTGCCTCCCTCCAGCCCTGCGACATCCCCCCCCTGCATCCCAGCCCCGTCGCCTCACAGCCATGAATGACCTCGGCGGCCGTTGGCGTTGATCCTCGCGCGTGCTGCACTGGTCCCTGGGTTCACGCATCGCTCTTGCACTGGTTGCCATATACACAGAGAGTGAATGGCAAGCAAGAGCGCCATCCCACAGGGTCAGCGTCGGGCAGAATGGACCGTCGATTGACGATGTGCACACACCTGGCTTGAGTATCGCAATACGAGCAGGGGCTTCAACCTGTTCATTAGATTCGCTAACACTGGCAAAACAAGCACCAAATAACACTCTTTGCAGAGGACAAAGTTCTATTGGGGTCAATGTGATTGGCAAAAAGACAACACAGAATAGAGAGGACATGGCAAGCAAACTAATAGGGCTGTGCGCAATAAACCAACCAGTCAATGTGCGCTCCAATGGCGCTTCACGTCGAACTCTTGGATATGGAATACGAAATTTAAAGTGCCTTCCCAATGCTGTCCTTTGCACTTTCTGAATTGCGATGACAATTGCTATCGACGATAGGCGTTGCGGGCGAGGTCATTTGTGCGCCGACTTTCGCAGTGACTTCCCTTCATTAAAGAATCAAAGTCAGATAATGATTAACATCTACAACTAGCTAACACTAGCATCAGCTTCGGCCGCACGCAGGACAAGCAAAATTTCCCACAGCAGTTGAAAGAAGCGTCGGGAACAAGAGTGACTCGATTGATCTGATTAGAATCTGTCGCTGAGTTTGGAGTCTCAGTGATTTCGTTCTGTTCCCTTGTTCCAACTACGCAGCTGCCATTGTGCTGTACAAATGTACGCCTCTCTGCAATTGGCTTAGCACTTTATAGATTGTGTATTGATTGTGCAAGAACAATCTTTATGGTAGACTTGCCACTGTCAATGTACCACTTCCGCCAGCCGTGTCCGCACAGTGGTAGGCACCAACGGCTCGTGACCCGTCCTGCACGGGAAATCGTGCTGTCGAAATTGTGCTGCACACAGCTGCGGCGTGTCGCGCTTGCACAAGAGGACGTTGCGTATTCTGAGCCGATGGCCAATATCGCAAAAAGGCCGATGTCGGGCTGTCATTGAAGGAAATGTTTGTTGACTTAATTCATGCCTAAGTCAAGCATCGGCATGAGATCGCGTCTCATTTTCAGGGCAATTGTATGCCGCATCTGTGCTCATGTGTGCCAAACCGTCGCGAACGAAATGCCACAGACGGCTGCAGAAAATGGGACTACCGTGTCGCAACAAATGGCAGGACTGGATGAAGCATTGGTTGTAGAAGCGGACACGAAGATAGCAATTAGGATTAAATAGATAAGTATATTAAATATTATGACTTGGTTACTAACTATTTGTGCTAATATTTAGCAATTATTAAACAAATAGGAACGAACACGTTCTGAATACAGAATCGTGCTCTGTTAGAGCCCTGCCGCATCGAGCGTCACGCCTCAAGGCTTTTAATCTCTAGAAGTATTGAAAACGTAACAGTGTTGCGAAGAGGACCCTTGGATGCAGTAGCGCATTGGCTGGCTCCAAACTTGGCCGGGATCGCAGCGAGGCACAAAATCCGTGGGTGAAACCGCGCCACTCCCCAAGGGCTTCTGGAAAGCGCAGCTCCCACGGGTGCAGCGGTTCCTGCGTCGATGGTAAGGCCTCTCGAATCGTCGTGTGTCGTGTGGCGGCGCTGGAGGCACGATTCGCCGCACTGGAAAACTGCCATTTGGGGCCGTGAGAACTGGGCGCGATTGACACTACGGCGTGAAAGCCGATGTAGGAAAAGCAGGGGAATCGAAGTCATGACAGTTCGTCGATTTTGCTCGTTCCCTTCCGTTCTTGATCCTGGTTTGAAGGCCGCAGCGTATTGGCGGCGAAATGCATTTCATACATGTTATGTATTACTACTGTGCATTTGACGGCTGTGTACTTGGCTGCTGTGTAAACAGTTTTAAATTTAGGTAAACGACAGGAGAGTCTGGTGGCTGGTTGGTCCGTTTTGCAATAATATATATAGTCAAATATATGTAGTGCAAATGCATGCCATTCAAAAAATTGGCTTAGTACTTTATGGATTTTGTATTTACTGTGCCAGAACAGTCATTTTGGTAAACTTGCCACTGTCGATGTACCGCCGCCATTGTCAGCGGCGACACGCTTGCCCAATGCGCTATTCTAATTGCGATTCCTCCTGTTTGTAAGGACGCGCAATTGCTTCACATGCGGTAACCTGCGAGTAGTTGACAGTAAGTAGCATGTAATAAACGCATGATGATGTTCGCGAAGGCAAATAGGAAGAATGCAAATACAATGCAGTTGTGCTTGATTTCCGCAAGCCATGACCGAAGATTTCCTCCACCCCGTGGAAATGGAAATGAAAAAAAATAGATGTTATAGTGGAATACAACGACACAGTGTATCACTTCCGCCTGCCCTGTTACAAGCAAAGTGAGATCCCACGGCAATTGAAAGCAAGAGTGACCCGATGGCTCTGATTAGAGTCTGTCACCAAGTCTGGAGTCTCAGTGATTTCATTTTGCTCCCTTGTTCTAACGACGCTGCTGCCATTGCGCTGTGCGAATGTGCGCCACTCAAACATTGGCACAGCTCTTTATGTATTTTGTATTGATTGTGCCAGAGCAATCTTTTTGGCAGACTTGCCACTGTCAATGTACCGCCGCCATCATCAGGGGCAACACCCTTGCCCAATGCGCTGTTATCGTTGTGATTAGGAACGTATCTCCCTGCTTATAATGCACGCGCGATTGCCTTATTTCACATGTGGTAATCTACGAGTAGCTGACAGTAAGTAGCATGTAATATACGTATGATGATGTCGCAAACGCAAATCGGATGAATGCAAGTACAATGCAGTTATGCTTGATTTCCGCAAGCTATGACGGAAGACTCCCTCCACTCCGTGGAAATGGAAACGGAAACAAGTAGGCGTTGTCGTGCAAAACAACAACACAATGTACCACTTCCGCCAGCCCTGTCCGCACAGTGACAGGCTCCAACGGCTCATGTGACCCATCCTGCGCGGGAAATCGTGCTGTCGAAATTGTGCTGCACATAGCTGGGGCCGTGTCGCCCTTGCACAAGAGGACGTTGCGTAGTCTGAGCCGATGGCCAATATCGCAAGAATGTCGATATCGGGCTGTCATTGAAGGAAGTGTTTGTGGATTTAATTTATGCTGAAATCAAGCGTCAGCATGAGATCGTGTCTTATTTTCAGGGCAATTATATGCCGCATCTGTGCTCATGCCTGCCAAACCATCGCGAGTGAAATGCCGCAGACGGCTGCAGAAAATGGGACTCCCGTGTCGCAACAGAATGGCAGGACTGGAGGAAATATTGGTCATAGAAACGAAGATAGCAAATAGGAATAAATAGGAACGAGCGCGTCTTGAGTACATAATGGTGCAGAATGGTGCAGAATATTAGAGCCCTGCCGCATCAAGTGTAACACTGGACTTTTTATCTCTAGAAGTATTGAAAACGTAATAGTGTTACGAAGAGGACCCTCGGATACAGTAGCGCATTGGCTGGCTCCAAACTTGGCCGGGATCGCAGCAAAGCACGAAATCCGTTAGGTGAATCCGCGCCACACCCCAAGGGCTTCTGGAAAGCGCAGCTCCCGCGGGCGCAGCGGTTCCTGCGTCAATTGTAAGGCCTTTCGAATCGTCGTGCGTCGTGTGGCGGCGCCGGAGGCACGAATCGCCGCACTGGAGAACTGCCATTTGGGGCCATGAGAACTGGGCGCAATTGCCACTATGGGGGAAAAGCCGGGGCAAGGGAAAGCAGGGGAGCGCATCGCACAGCGGAAAAAAGTGATGACCAGCACACGTTGCTGCGGCTCGGAATTGCAGCTGCTTGCGGGAGCATTTGAATGTGGAGGCCACGTTGTTGCATCACAAACTCGCGTTCCTGTACTGTGCACAGGAGGGCAACACCGCGCTGCTGATTGCCGCCCAATATCGTCTTGGTGTTGTCATAGAAAAGCTCTTGGCTGCTGGCGCAGACGTCAACCACAAGAACAAGGTGTGGCGTCGAAGTGGAGATTCTGTCCCGCACACATTGTGAAATGGAATCGAAATCATGACAGGTCGTCGACTTTGCTTGTCGCCTTCCGTCCTCGATCCTGGTCTCAAGCCCGCAGCGTATTGGCAGCGAAATGCAGTTCTGGGCGAACTCGTGGCTGTTTGCGAAAGTACTATGCTATGAGCTCGTTCGCGCAAACCTGTGTTTGTACCCCGATGAAGCAGTTTGTTCTACAGATCTCATTTCCCTGTTCATTGCGTCTCAGTTCATTACTAATTTTGGCTTTGCCATCACCGCTCCCATACACTGCGTTTCGGATGCCCACCGCTGCCCTGAAAATACTTGGCTTGGAGAAGGGACTGTCCCTTTCCAGCCCCTCACAGAATGGCGCCATGCAAGTCGAATTCAGTTGTGCACGTCAACGTCCTTTACACTTGAGGAATTCGTTCGTTTGGTCAAATTTGTTTCACACTCATCATAGACTCCGGCTTTGTTCCAAGTCGGAATTTCCATAGTTCCCGATTTCTCCCCCAGAATCATAGATTGCGCAACGCGTAGCGTCCATTTCTAGAAACTGTGCCGAATTAATTCCTAACAATGTTCGTGTTGTTTTGATTGACAGGAAGGGAAGACCGCGCTTCAGCTGGACGCTGAATCCGTGTTCTATTGGAACAAAAGTGTTGCTGAGGTGTTGCTGCGTCATGGAGCGAGTGAATAGGGAGTGGGTGAGCTCTCGCGACGGCCACGCAAATTTGAGTAACTCGGTTTGTCACGCCGTCCTTGGCGGAATGCGACTCCACTTCATCTTACGATGAATTTGTCGGCGAATGGTCCATGCACATTCTAGTCCAGGGTCTTCCGCAGCAGAGCCACGAGGGTGGCAGTTGCCAGGCCAAGGGGCCTGTGGGCATTTAAGTGCGAGAATACTGGCTTCTTTTCATTCACTGTCTGCTGGGGGGCGGAGCCGGGGTGCATGGGGAATGCGGCTCTCGTCGGTGTCGATGTAAACTACTGAGAGGGGATGTCGCCCATGGCGTGTTGTTGTACATCTGAAGGGCTGGCCACGATGGCTTTGTGGTGTGCCATGCATGCGGAAACTTTTGTGCCCGGCAGCGGTCTTTCAAGACTGTAGCCACGTATACCGATCCCACTGGGGGAGCTGGGTGTGATATCGGTTGGTCGGAAGATCAACAGCAGAGTAACGGGTTCCACTTTTGGGTTGTAATAAACTGGTATTTGATCGGGAGCTCTGTGTGCTGGGGTAGGGCTTATTGCGAGCTAACCTGGTCGTTATGCGTTTGCTGCAATGTATGAGTGTCGGTGCCCATGTAGGGCTTTGGGGTTTGTAAAGGATTCTGGATGGCTTTGACCAGGATTATGCGGTCCCAGGTGCCACGCTGTCTGCACAAGGACAGCAGACGAGAGCTGTGATCGCCAGCACCAGCGCTTCCGAGAATCAACCGCAAACTGCGTCATTGAGCATTGGTGTGCAAATCGCTCTCCGTCGGCGCTTTCAAAATCACATCTGGGCGCTTGATACCTCCCATCGCGAATTACCATGCCGACAGCCGCATCACCATGCCTGGCAGGGAGCATTGGACAAAGCGTGTATGTTGTACGCACTAGGAAAAAAAGGGCCAAATAACACGTGCTCAAACGTGTGCAAAGTGTACGGGTTTGTGTTATTTTTGTGTTCTTAGCGTGCAAATCTTTGATGGTGTGTTTTATGTGTGCTCGCAAAAGTATTATTTGACCCTTTTTTCCTAGTGACGTGGCTTGGTATTGCACGCTATTGCGGTCTGGCAACGGTTGAAGCCACTGCGCTGCTCCGCTGATGGCGCATGCGATTCGGTTTGAACTCCGCTGCAAATGCCGCCAAAAGAACACTTGCGCCCACTGAAGTGTGGACCGTGCTCACTTGTGTCGCTCCGCTGATGGCGCATGCGACTCGGTTTGTGAGCCGGCGCTCAACGAATTCAGGTCCTCGGATCCGTCGAAGATGCGGCAACTTCAGAAAAGGGCCGAGTGGCATTGCTGTGATACAAATGCTGCATCGAATGCTGCGCGTCCCAAACTTGCTCTGTTTAGAGAGATTGGAAGCCAGTCCCTGCACAGCTAGTGGCCAATCGTCGCTGATAGCCGGGGGTACTTGCCACCAGCCAACATCCAGTCTCATTTCCCCGCTCCCAGGCTGAATCTGCAGCAAACTAACAAACGCTCCAATCTGTCTAACAAATGCTCCAATCTGTCCGGCTCCAAAAGCACCTGACCTGCCGGGCCATCTTCTTACGGCCTCCTCCCATGCTGACCTGTCAGTGGCTCGAATACTGCCCTCGTATGGTTAAAGATGCCATACAGTGGAGCCCCCGCTCTCAAAAACTCTTCGCCAGACGCCGCTCTTTTCCATGCAGATCATCGAATGAATCTCCCAGTGCAACAGGAACAGTAGCCAACAGATAAGAAATCACCACACCTAGCAAGGCAGCAGTTCGAAAGAAATCCAAGAATGCCTACTTTCGTTCAGCGTCACCCCTGGGCCAATCTTGCCAGACCACCAGCCCCCCCCCATTTGCACCCTGTGGAAGTTTGCTTTGTGGCGCCGGCACGGCCCCTTGCCGCCAGGGAGGCCTTGCCATATCCAACTCCTCGCGCCTGCCTCCGTGTCCCGTGGCGTCTCTGATGTGCACGTCGTCTGGGTCACTTTCTTCGTGCCCATCACGTTGGCCACGTTGCCTAAACAAACGGTTGTGCTCATTAAGCACTGATCCACACTCAAGAGATAATATCCGACGAGCGCCCGATAATCACAACACTTGTTTTGCATGTCGCACAATTCTAATGGGCAGCTACGACTCACCAACCATCAGGTGAGCAGTATATGAAGCACAGCTGTTGCCCAGGAAACAGACAAGCCTACCAGGGACTGAGCCACGGCCAGGTGTCAATATTTGGCATAGGCATGCTATCTATGATGTGTGCATTATATGTGGTACCGAAACCATGTATTTGTCATTTACGACATTCGCATTATGTGTGGTGGTAATTGGATACTCCCACACTGCACCGCCCGGGGCGGTTGCTTTGAGAGAACTCCGCTGCAAATGCCGCCAAAAGAACGCTTGCGCCCACTGAAGTGTGGACCGTGCTCACTTGATACTGCTAGTATACTGTAGAGCATCTGACAATCAGAGCTCGCACAGCAGCAACCGCATTTGGGGGCGCTACCATCGGCATTACCCGTAGATCCTGTACAGCACCTTGTAGCGATGGTTCGTTGTGCCGAGCAGCAAATAACCCCGTTGCTATAAACGAACGTTCAGCTGTTGTGAACATGTCGTTGAATATGGGCCAAGGAGACGCGCCATGGACAAACACTTCTTGTCAGCACTGCCAACAGCACAAATCGCAACAGCAATAGATGCGCTGCACTATGTTGGGGCCTGAGCGATTCAAAACCTATCTGCACAATGGTGTGTTCACTTCTGGCCGGGAATTAGAAGCAATTGCGCAGGTACAGAGTACGTGACATTGCACAACAGGCGGAGATCTGCCATATGAAGACAAGCGCAACAAAAGTACATTTCCAAGTCAACACTGGTGGGGATGTGCCACCACGATAAGAAGAACGTCCCATTAATGGAGGAGCGTGAGTACTACTGGCAAATGCGGCCCTCAGCCGTGCAGTACGATCGCGAGCGCTGAAACACATTTTCAAAACAAAACTACAACTATGAGTGTACGTGACAAACACTAAGGGAACTTGTTGCCCACTGCACTAACTACTTCCAACTAATTCAGAACAAGACCATCGTGTACCTCTGCCACTCTCCTCCGGTCCACCTTTGGTAGCCATCGCTCCCCTCTGGCAAGGATCCATCCGACAATCTGCCGACAGTTCAACTCCAAGTCAGCAACCAATGAGACAGACTGCCTAAACAAAGAATGTGAAGGAATATGGTGATATCGCCGTTCCCTGTGAATAACTAGCTACATCATGCGTGAGAAGAAATAATCAGCATGCCCTGTAAAGTCAGAAAATGGGGCCAATTTTACTGGCTGTCGAGCCTTGATCCCACACAACCCCACCGAGAGCCTAGCCACTCCTCCCAGCTTTCCTTCCCCTCAAACTGGCAGAAACGCTTCAGTCAAGCATTAAAAGGGCATGAACAAAAGGCACTGTTTCATGTTTACAGGGCACAGGCACACAATCAGCGGACAAACCACTGGAATATCACTTCATCGATTCAAGATGAAGCACACTTGATCCAAGTTGACTAGATCCTGCACAAACCAATCGAAATTGACGCGCACTGACGAATTTCAGCACCAAAATGACTAAACCTGACCCTGGCCCTGGCCGTCTGCGTTTGCCCTGTCCACAAAATCCGAACCCACGTGAGTGAATTCGACCGTGCGACTTGCTTACCTGGATCAGGGCTGTCTGGGACCTCCAATGCCTGGGAACAGCTATGTAACTGTCACTGTGGGTGCCTTCCCATCCCATAATCTCATTGGATGGGCATTCTTGGCGGGACACGTCGTGCTGCGGACAAACAGACTATCTGATGGCACTCCACTAAACTTACACCAACAACATGCGTGAATGGATTGACATTGCTGTCAACAATGTTGCAAGAATGTTCCGAGGACAACACGTGAAGGACATCGAGAAGCGGCATTGGACTGTGATTGCATTTGTTAGATGGATGTTGCCAGGGGATATCCCCTGAGCTGAATCGATTCAGCTCAGTCCAGGACAACATCGAGTGGATTCTGGCAGTCTGTGGGGCATTGGCGTCAGGAAAGTAACAGCCTAGGATTACCACACTGATACAAAGGACTGACATCTCCGTTTTCCTCTCGGCAGCTCCTTTGCTTCCTTTCCGGCATACTGGCACTGGATTTGGGAAATACGGGAACAACTTAATGCCACAATCAACAAAGCTATGACACCAATACTAAGTAGAAAAACGAATGCAGACATTTCCCTGGTGTTGGCAGTGCATCATGTCACCCGCTAGGTTGGGAGGCAGTGATTTTGTCCCTTGTGTGTGACAATTCAGTATTCGACTTTACTCAATTTATATATGCACATACGCAATAACCGAGTTTCGAATCGACTCTCATTCAGTTCACGGTTCAAAGGCCCCCACCACCCATCCCCACACCCCATAAATGTGCTCACTCCTCCACATTCCAAGTTACCCTCCACATTCCATCTGGCCCTGAACAGTACAGGCAGTACTGCTGATTCCCTGACCACAGTTTCTGTCAATACCACAAAACAAAACCCAGCCCCTGGGCATTGCAGACACTGCCGAAGTAGTGTCTGACAAGGGTGCATGCACGAATTCGTTCAATCCCAAAAACCTATAATTGTGTTCACAACTATCGGAGGTCCACACAGATTGCTAGCGCCAAAGTACGACAACAACCTGTCCTTGCGCTTACATGCAAGACAAATGCTCGATATACAGATATCAACGCAGGCATGTGTATATGTGTATACCACATACATCTGCATGTAAATATACATATAGTTGATATGTTGGTACCTTGCTTTGCTTTTGATTGGGATCCCACATCGGCTTCTGCTGGAAAAGAATCCTACCGTACTTTGAGAGTTGCAGGGGAGTTTCCTCGTTCTCAGACATATGTAATGCATTTGGGATAAAAAATATGGTGGATATACAGATGCTATAATCGACGTAGTATGCA